ACGCTCCCTGCCGTCTGGAGACAGAGGACCAGAGCCGGGCAGGTGTGCCCCGCCCCTCGCCTGTGCCTCGGTTAGCAGCGGGATCCGTCTGGGAGCCGCTGTGGGGCCTGAAGGAGACGTGTGGGGGAAGCATCCCCGAGGCTGCGCCGAGCTCCACTCGTGTCCCCAGTCACCACTGTCATCCGTCACCGTCAGACTTTCACTTTCGAGGCTGGCTCCTCGTGACACTAAATGCCATCCGAGATAAGAACGAGGCCCGCGCGGGAGAATCGGCCGGTACAAGCGACCGGAACGTGGGCCTGAGTCCGACGTCACTTGTCGCCAACGACAACACACCGTCAACGCGGCGACGCGCGCAGGAGGCGGGCCTGCTGGAGTTCGGTCCAGAGCTTTGCCAACAATCTCGAAACAGAGCTGTCTCCCACTTCCAGAGAGACAAATCAGCAGCACTGCGGCAAACGGTGACAAACGGGAGGTGGCTCGTCCCTTGTCACGGGTACGGCAGCACAGGCGGCCACGCCTGGCGGGCTGCGCGGTGGGCAGGTCACGCTCCTATTCGAACACGGACCGTTGTGTGTAAACCACGTCTCATATTTCAAAGTATGACAGAGTTGACTACATTAACATTTCTGTCTTTATTCAAGTAAAAATTAAAATGCAAAAGGTAAATGAGGAACCCCCTTTGTCATGTTAATGACACACAGGCAAACTACAGGTAAATGGTTACCAGTACTAAGAACATGGTAAGCAGCCCACGGGAAAGGGGGCCGGAAAGAACAGGACCAGCCCGGGCAACGCATTAAGACCCGTTTCTACAAAAAAATTAAAATATTAGCCAGGCGTGGTGGCACCCACCTGTAGACCCAGCTACTAGGGAGGCTGAGGCAGGTGGATCACCTGAGCCCAGGAGTTCCAGGCTGCCATGAGCTGTGGTGGTGCCACCGCACTCCAGCCTGGGCGACAGAGCAAGATCTCATCTCTCTTAAAGAAAAAAAAAAAACCAATGGGGAAAAACGTTCAACCTCAGCACTGGCAACCAAATCCCATTTTCTCTCTGTACAAGGCCCAGTGCCGACCAGAGTGTGGGCACGGTCTGGTTACCCAGCAGCCCCTGGGGCTGCCCTTCCACTTTCTCAGGACTGGGCGTAGGTCCCCACGCGTGCTCCCGTTCTCCCGCCCGGGGCGCCGGCTCCTGCACAGCCCCGGACTGCACGGAGGAGCGCGCCCAGCGTGAGCCGCCTGCATGCAAGAGCCGCCCGCGCCCCCTTGGGCGTGCCTGGCCCCGCCGCCGTCCTCATTGGCATACACGGCCAGCCCCCTCTCCTGTGGGGCGTCTGTGGCTGTCTTGCTCCCTCAGTGGGAGGAGGAGGGTGGGGACAGAGAGCGGGGTCAGCTGGCAACCACAGCACCCCAGAACCTTCCACGGGAAGCGCAGCACACAGGTGGGACAGGAGGAGCAGGGCTTCCGCCGCCGGCAGCGCTGCCGTGGGGAGGCTCAGGCCACGGAAGACAAGCCGGGCCGACGGGGTGAGCGTGCGCGGCAGACGTGCACCCCGGGCCCCGGTGTGGCTGTGCAGGCACCTCGCGCGCCCCTCTGTGCTCTCCTCAGTTCTCTGACGGACTCGCCTCGCTTCAGAGCAACAGGCTGTAGCTAAGGAAGTAGACGTGGGTTAAAGGTAAAAAAGAAAAAAAAAAACAGACTAAAAGGACCAGGACAGGCAGGGCAGCCTGCACAGCGTGGGGCTGGCGGGACCAGTGCTTGGCCCCCCAAGAGCTGACTGAGGGGTCCAGGGCACCGGGCGTCTCGCCTAAGAGCTCCCTATGGGAAACCTGCATTTCCGGCAGCCACGCTCCCTGCCGTCTGGAGGACAGAGGACCAGAGCCGGGCAGGTGTGCCCCCGCCCCTCGCCCTGTGCCTCGGTTTAGCAGCGGGATCCGTCTGGGAGCCGCTGTGGGGCCTGAAGGAGACGGTGTGGGGGAAGCACTCCCCGAGGCTGCGCCGAGCGCTCACTCGTGTCCCCAGTCACCACTGTCATCGTCACCGTCAGACTTTCACTTTCGAGGCTGGCTCTCGTGGACACTAAATGCCATCCCGAGATAAGAACGAGGCCGCCCGCGGGGAGATCGCCGGTACAAGCGACCGGAACGTGGGCCTGAGTCCCGACGTCACTTGTCGCCAATGACAACAACACCGTCAACGCGGCCGAGCTGCACAGGAGCGGGCCTGCTGGAGTTCGGTCCCAGAGCTTTGCCAACAATCTCGAAACA